GTGGGGCCATGTGGATCTGCCATGGGCTTCCAAATGGCTTGTGACTGACATGGTGCAGCCAGCAGACCCTTATATGTAAAGGCATCTTGTTATATAGAGAGGTTTCAGGGCAATGTTCAGAATCAGGTTGCTGTGGTCAAGGGGCCAAGCTCTGTGGGATAGAAGCATGGTTGGTGCATTCTCCTAGGATCCTGACCCACCACACGTGACAGAACTCCCTCCAGCACTTTGTTTCAGTTGAACTCCTTGTATTTCGTGAAGAAAATACAAAACTCCCAGTGCAGCAGCAAGAAACACCACGAAAAGTGGAGGATGACCAAATGCCCCACAGTCCCCACGGGGAGACACTTAGCACCCAGTGGCCACAGTTCATGTTCAAAGAGAGAATTCACCACTTCTGCCTCATGTTTATTGGAAAATCAGAAACCATGTCCTCCAGGTCACTTAGATGTAGACACAGCTTTGATGGTCTCACAACAAAAAATATAAAGCTCCTGACAACAACATATATTTCAAGAGCCCAACTTCAGAAGCAGTTTCTCAAGATGTCTTTAGGCCAGCAGAGCTCCATGTTTGTGAAGTGTTTATCCTGTCCCTTACTTATGGAAACTCCTCTACCACCTCCAAATTTGTGAACTCCTGAACATTTTTCATTCAACATATGTATTCAAAAAATTTCTTACTCTTCTCATCAAATTGGGTCTTTCTTGGGGTGAGGTTAATTTCAAGACATTGTTCTGGATGACAGTGGGAAGATTTTTGAGTAGCACATATTAGCATACACATTGGATTCATTTTTCTATTTTCCATTCCAAATACTGAATCCCTGACACTAACCCATACCCTACAAGACTGTGACTACGAATTCTGATATGATGGACAAAAACAACCCAAACACAATAGAAATACAAGCAGTTCAGATGAGGCATGGTGTGTAGTTGGACAGGCCATTTACATTATAAAGGGTGGGTGTTATGAATCTAGTCCAATGTAATAGTTCTCCATGTGTTTTTAAAGTTAACAAATATGTGAATTCCTGTCTCCCTTTCTCCGTAGCCTATTCAGCACATGTGTTTGTACATGCACATATAGAATCCTACCTGGTTTCTCAGCTACATTCTTGTGAGGTGGCTGACTTGGCAGATACAAACTGTGAGAAGGGATCACTCCTCCTAAATGCTGTTGGAACTGAAAATCAACCTTTTGGTAAGCTTCCTACTAAATCAACAGGATACATAAATTCATGTTCAGTAAAATAAATATTTTTGGATTCGTGGATGATATATATTTTATGATGAATTTCAATTGGCATATATATTTCTACTTTTTAATGTGTCTCTGTGTGTGTTTTGTGTGTATATATATAT